GGGGGGGTAGGATGGGGTTGGAAGGGGAGCGAGTCGGGGTGAGGTGGATCGGAGGGGTGGGTTGGAGAGGGAAACCGATCGGGCGATGGGTTGAAAGGGAGTGAAGGGGTCGGGATCCGTTGAGGATGGGTGTAGGATGGGGTCGTGACGGGAACGGGGTGGGCGATGCGGGGTGCGAGGCGGTGTTGTTTTTTAGACAAGCACTAGTTAATAAGGCAGGGAGGGGGGGGAGCTGAGGGAAAGCAACTTCGGAGTTACACACCTCCGAGCTCCTCCGCTTCCTTCACCGGGGGGTATAACCCTCAGGGCCCCAAAGGAAGTCGTCGGGTGCCCATGGTCTTCGCCGCTGTCGCGTTCCTTCGCCGCTGTTGCTCACGCCTTCGTTCCTTCTTTTATGGCAGTCGGGTATCCCTTGACACTTTCGCTGCTCCTTCTTGCTCCTGATAACCAAACTCCGTCCTCTCCCCTTTCCCTCGCGGTGTTTCATTCCTCTTTTGATTTCTCCCTTCCCCCTGACCCACTTCCTTCCTTCCCCTGCCGCTCTGTTACCTCCTTAAGCACCGTGGCATGTCCCTTCTTTTTCCTCCTCGTGGCTACGTCTCATGCCCTCTCTGAGCGCCGGTCACAATCTCTGCTGCAAAGCTTCGGCCACATGCACCTTTCTGTTCGTGGCCAGCTATGGCCGCTGCTCCGTAGAACAGGGGCAGAACCAGGTGCCCGAGGGGTTACCCTTCGCTTGCGGATACGACACCAAGGGTGACCTCTCGTCCCTGCGACGACGGGCGGACCTGCCGCTCCATTCACAGTGCCGCGCCGAACTTCCCACCTTCCGGATTTTCTGCACCTCATCACAAGCATATCCGGAATCAGCCATCACCCAGAAACTGACCCAGAAACTGACTACTCTACCTCTACTCGTCGCAAAACCACATGTCCAGAACCAATTTCCCTTCTTCGAACTTTGACATTTTCCCGCCTCTGCCCCAGGTTTCCCCAAACCAAGATCCTTGGTTCTTTCTTCTCCAATCCGCTTGAATGATTCTCATCAAAGAAGGTCTGAAGTACTCTGCTTTCCTTGTTTGTCACTTCTCGGTCCTCAAATATCCGCAGGTTTCTTTCTTTCCATATGGGCCTCGTTCCACTACCCTCGACTTGAAAAATATCTCAAGGGCAGCCCTACAGGCGCCCTTGAGCCAAAACGTAATTAAAAAATACTGGAGGCCGTCTTCGTTTGACTACACCCTGCAGTTCCCGCTCGCACAAGGAGCGGGAAAATGTGCGGCTCGGTTCGGCCATGGGAGGTGACAAATGACGGGGGTACTGCATGGAACTTCTGACTACCTGGCGGCACATGTTGACGCCGTTTTCAAGGAACGTCGAGGAAAAACCAGTCGGCCGTGGGAGGTGACTTGAAATTTGCCTGCGGACCCTACGGCCTCCCTTCAGTTTCGGAGCGGGAGTTTAACCAGGCGGGAATGCTAATCACTTTACAATAGTGATTAGCAAATCTCAAGGGCCTAGTGGAACGGCGCCGCCCTTGAGATTTTTCCAAGTCGAGGGGTAGTGGGACGAGGCCCTATGACACTTCAAACTTTGCCATTTTCCCGCCTATGCTCCAGGTTTCGCCAAACCAAGATCCTTGGTTCTTTCTTCTCCAATCCTATTCTCATCAGAGGTCTGAATAGTACTCTGCTTTCCTTGTTTCTTTCTTTCTTTCCATGTGAAGCTGCAGCCTGCCGCTCTGGCTCCCATGGGATGTCATTTCCTTGTAACAACCTGATGAGGATTCAATGCTTGGATTTCTTGCCCAGGGTCTATTATTCCAAGTTCCCCTTTGGATCTTGGTTGGATGAGGGAAAAATGACCATGAGGATACCCACTGCATCAAAAGAATAGCATGGGAGGATACCCACAGCATCAAAAGAATAGCATGGGACACCCTCATGGGGGGCGAGTTCCCTCAGCGAAAACTTGGGGCCTACTCGCCATTCAACATCTTGAAAGTATCTGGATAGCGAACTGTCCAAGTGCATTCAAACGGTTAGCGAGTTGCACTACCGTAGGCCCTCACCCAAGAGATCGAATCGCATATCCCGCTCGATTTGTTTTGTGTTTCCAAGTGCAATCGGCGCCACTGGACAAAAGACACGGGGGTCTATACACCCGTCATCTTTTGGTGAGTAGTCCAGCGAGGCCCATTATCCGTGGGCGGGAAAGTTTTTTTCACGAAAACGCGGATCCAACGCAAGATCGACTCCTTGGAGTTCACGCGCCTTTTCAATCGGGACCAGTGTGCGCTCCATATCCATAGCTGAGGAGAAGGGGAGTAGAATAACGAAGAAGGTGGAAAAAGTGGCGGGGCATCTCCCTCGTTTCTAAGATCGTTTTCCCGCCCAGGTGGCCAAAAACGTTACGAACGAGTGGGCGGCTATCTGTGGATGAGTAGAAAGACTGTGGAGACGAGCAGTATAAAAAAGACAGCGAGACGCACGTACAGGGTATAAGCTAGACGCACACCTGAGACGTGAGCGATATACAGCCAGCCAGCCAGCCAGCCAGCCAGCCTGACAGAGACACACAGAGACACAAACAGACACACAGAGTCAGCTAGACGCACAGGTGATACGTGAGCGATACACAGCCAGCCAGCCAGCCTCACAGAGACACACACACAGACACACACA